TTTAATAAGACTATTTGTATATGTTTTGTATAGATATTCACATGAATATTTTATTTGTATGGTAAATCTAGGTAGGTAAACAAATATAATGCACATGCTCAAAAGAATTGTAAGGAAGAATGAAATTATTTCAGAATAAATACATATAAGATGACTAAATAATGAGTTTAAGGTTTGATGTAGCAATATTTGTGTTTAAATGCTTTAACAGGGCGGATGCAAGTATGCCATAAGGGGCTGTTATCCTCCCCAAACTTATAATTTTTTTTAATATATGTAGACATTTTGCTAAAATTTATTGTTTCTTACCATGTACAATATATATTATACATATTTTAAGCATGTCCAATTTATCACTACAACAAAATAATCAAATTCCAACTGAAAGTTTCAATACAAATATATTTTAATAGAATTCCAACGGAAATTGCAACAAAAATATTCCGTTGTAATGAGTTTTTTATTTGTATTTCTATTGGATTTTAAACATTCCAGTGGTAGATTTCCTACTGAGGTGAAAATAAAAATTCTAACGGAAAGTGCATATCCAACGAAAATTCCCACGGTAAGTAACCGTTAGAAAAATAGTCGTTGAAATCATCAAATTTCATCTACATAAATTCCAATGGAAAATTCAAACGCAATATTTCCGTTGGAATTTCCGTTGGAATGATTTCAACGGAAGCTATACTACTCGAATATCCAGTTTTCCATTGGAATATATTATTGTAGGATTTTCCGTTGGAATATAATATTTTTTTGTAGTGTATCCGCATATCTCTTAATCATTGCCGGTTATTAAAATGACATATTTACTAAGAATTTTTAACTATCATATATTTGTAATTAATTTTCTCCACTCTTTAAATATAATCATTTTTATTTTTCTTTTTATAATATAGAAATTAATTAATCTGAATGTACGGAATATGTGAAAGATTGAAAATAAATAATTTTAAATAGGGGGGACAAAGAATTGCAAGAATTATTTGTTGAGTCAATGAGTTTCGTGATTAAAATATCAAACTTCAATAGTTATGTCTATTGTAGAATATTCTTATAATTTATAATATCGAATTTAGAATGAAACTTTCCGCATTATATGCAAATAAAATGTGATATTGTTAAACGTTGTACACGCGATTTTACATAGGTGACAGGGAGGGCAATTGCTCCCCCTCAAATTTTAATTTTTTTTTATTACTAATATTACAAATATTAATTTATCCTCCCTTTAAATTTATTTTTGTACTTTTTTTTTTTTAAACGTCACTCACCAGACCACCTTGTCTACAATTATCAATTAACAAATCAATATTGTAAGAAACTGGGGGAAAGAGGTACGGTCCCACTAACATGAAGCGCACCATGAGAGGAAAAGGCTCATATGAAGCCCGAATGGGGTTCCATCCCAAAACCAATTGGTGGAAGGAGAAGTAGCTCATTAGACTTATAAGGTGGGTCTATTTTTTATATATGAACGATGCGGGACAACTCACAAGTGATATTCTAACACGCCCCCTCACTTGTGAGTCCTTCAGAAGCCCAAGCCCAACTGGGTGCCCCAAGCCTACTAGAAGTAGACTCCCATAAACGGGTACATGGGGAAGCAGACTCTCATAAACAGATGCGAGAAGCCCAAGCCCAACTAGGTGCCCCAAGCCTACTAGAAGTAGACTCCCATAAACGGGTACGTGGGGAAGCAGACTCCCATAAATGGGTACGTCATCGTACGGTCCCAATAGAACCGGCTCTAATACCATGTAAGAAACTGGGGGAAAGGGGTGCGGTCCCACTAACATGAAGCGCACCATGAGAGGGAAAAGCTCATATGAAGCCCGAATGGGGTTTCATCCCAAAACTAATTGGTGGAAGGAGAAGTAGCCCATTAGACTTATAAGGTGGGTCTATTTTCTATATATGAACGGTGTGGGACAACTCACAAGTGATATTCTAACAAATATTTCTTTTATTTTACTATTAATTTTGTATATTAACTATTATCCTTCTACAATTTTAATTGGTCCATATAAAAAACTTTAACTCTCTTTTATTGCCCAGACTAAGGCTGTTATTTTTTGACCAAAATCGAAAATCGAACTAAACCAAACTGATGAGAAAATAAACTGACTCGAACCGACTTATGTGTAACGGTAACCGAAAATCGGTTACCCAAATGTTAAAGTTCAATATCGGTTCTGAACTCATTATGTCATGTCTTTTGCTCCCTCTCAATTAATTTTTGGGTATCGCCCCTGACGTTGTATATTCCTTCTAGAGGTGTTATTGAAGTCGAGTTGAATACTTATGATCAGACTCGTGTTTGTGTAATAAATGTGTTGGCTTGACTTGTCTCATTAAATAAACGAACAAAAAAGTGAGCTTGAGTTTGATTCATTTAATAAACTGATTAGGTACTCCGAGTTTTAACGGGTGAGTTCGAGTTATATTCGAAAAAAAAAAAATTTCCGAATCCGGCCGTTAAAGCATATGGCAATGCATAGAGAGTGAGAGGCTTAAATTTGATAGGGACCACCTCGTTTTACCCTACATACGTACACAACCCGTACAAACACATGGCACACGCCATTTATATTTTCATAATGCAACAAAATAATAATAATTAACTTGTTTTAATTTGAAAATTTCAGAATTATTATATTATTATAATTGTAATTATTATTATTATTAGAGTAATGCTATAGGTACATAATAGCGTACATAGAGGTGTACGTAACACTCACATTGAGTGGGTCCCACCAAAATTAAAAAAATCAAGTAGACCCACCTCATGTGAGTGTTATGTACATCTTTATGTACATTTATTATGTACATGTAGCATTTTCCTTATTGTTATTATTGATCTAAAATTTGTGTTTGAAAATTGTCGGGCCAAACTTGTAATTGTAGTTCCCCCTATATATTAATTCAAAACGCGCTGAGCCTAAGTGGCTGCTTCTGGTGCTTCGGAATCCTATGTGGCAAAATTACATGTTTCGTTATTAGGCTTAGTAAATTTTAATTTAATTCCAAACCAGAAATAATTAGGTTCGGATTACCATAAATATGTTGATTATTTATGTTCATGTTACGTGCATTAATTGCATTTTAATATCATTCCTTGTTATAACTATTGAATTGTATATGTATTTTAAAAGTTAATAACTTTTATATTTTTTATCAGTTTTTCATATATAATATATATCAAATTAATTTTCTTTTGATGAGTTTCAATTTAACACTCATATTGTATGTATAAAAAAAATAATTTATATTCATCTTTATAACAATAATACATTACAGTCTGAATGTGACCCCTCATGAAAGTGATGACTCCTATTGAAAAATTCATTGATAAAATCATCAATTTTTTCTTGTTTCCTTCCAACATCATTTGTGGGCAATTGGCTATTTTTTTGCCAACTTTACAAGTTGGAATTCGTTATTTATGCACTCACTCTCACTCCCACCAAAAACCTTGTCCCAATAAATACATAAATATTCTTTGAAGATAAATTTTGTAAGAGACGGGAGTGATCGGGTGCGGTCCCACGCAGATGAAACACACCATGACAGGAAGCCCATATGAAGCCCAAGTGAGATTTTATATCAAAATCAATTGGTGGAATGAGGGGTAACCACTAGGCTTATAATTTAAATTTTCTCTGTATAAATGATGCGAGACAACTCACAAGTAGTATTATATTCTAATATGTCCCCTCACTTGTGAGTTCTTCATACGAAGCTCAAGTCCAACTGAACTGGATCCCAAGCTCAAATGAGCTGGGTGACGGGTATACGTCATCGCGCGATCCCACATTGAACCGGCTCCTAAAGTTAAATTTTCTAGTCATCCCTTAATTTTGGAGTGTTGCCAAACTTCCTAAAAATATATATATTTTTTTTCTATTTTATAGTTGAGAATCATTTTTACCTGGAATAAAAAATAAGATAAAGTTTGACATAATAACATGTATCACACTCCTGTTACTTCACACATTATCAGCAACTATTAAACATAAATCATTTTTTGTCATCTATATATCAAACAATTATGTGAAACTAAACTTCAAAAAAAATAAAAAAATAAATAAAACTTTTTTTTTTCTAACAGTTACCTTTAAGCATAGAAACTGTTAATAAAGTCAAGATTGAGACTAACAAATAATCATTAAAATCAGAATGATTAGAGCAAGTAACCATAATAACTACCATTCAAGGTAGAAAAAATCTTGCTTAACATCTTTGAGCACACTCTCTACTAAATAGTAAGCCCCAACCATAATAACTACCACTAAGAGAGGAAGAAAAAAGAAAACCCAGAAATCAAAATGCATCAAAATAGTAAAAAGTCACTAAAAAAAACAATCCCCTCAAGAAATTGCCACGCAATACGGCAAGCTCGGTAGCCTCTTTGCTCGGTCGCTCCTCTCCCCGTTGCACCTGCTGCCCGACCAATCTCCACCAGTGATCTTGCACCCAATTTTCCCTCCATCTTGATCCCTCGGGCCATTTTCACCCCAATTATGGCCAGTAAATTCGCTCCCGTCCCAACTTTCACCTTCGCAATAGTCCTTTTCATCCCCCCTCGCATTTTCCTCTTCAACTTCTTCTTGCCCTTCATCATCATCATCGTTCCCAAGTACCGGTTCATCCGTCTCACGGAGCCTAACCAAAGAAAGTCTAAGCCTACCGTTTTCGCGCTCGGCTCGGAAAAAGTTCCTACGACACGAGCAATTGAAGGCCCTAATGACAAGCCGACCTCCTTCTCGATGGGCGTGCACTTGAACCCATTCATCGCCGCTAATGGAAGTCAACGGGGGCGGGAAATCGTTGACTTTTTTCGTTTTCTTTGGAGACTCACGGATTTTGGCCGGCCTATCCAATGCATGGAGGGAAAACTCATCGAAATCCAAAATGATATTGGTCCCCGTCTCGTTGCCCAAGCTTTCGGTGCACATATCGAGCGATTTCGTGCTGAGTGGGAAAAACGAGCGTTTGACGAGAGGGTGGACGTAAACTTCCTCCGTTTTCTCCGGATTCTGTAGGGCGTGTTTGGGTGGGATTAGCTGGTTTGGTGAGTCGTGAGGCTCGAATAACAGGGGATCCAAACAGGACTTGAGGCTTTGGCACACACTTGATGAGGTGATTGACATGTTTTTGTTGGTGTGTTGGGATTTCTTAGGTGAAAACAGGGGATATTGGTTTTTCAATTGAGGTGTTGAAGGGATCATAGATGGATTTTTAAGGTTTATATGATGAAAACGGAATTTATCTGTTTAATGTTATTTAATTTATTTATTTTTTTGGGGGGTTCTAGACCTTATATTTTTGTGTTTTGAGAATGGTGGATTTTGTGGAGGGGATAAAGATTGAGAAATCAAGAAGCAAAAATAAAGAAATATGAGAGAATTGCATGAAAGGGAAGTGAAAGGAGAGGGTGACAATTTATAGGTGTAAAAAGGGGTTGAATGAAGTGGGGGCTCATTTGCATGGAAAAAGGTATAGAGGTTTCTCTCTTAGAAAAGTTCTCCTACCCACGGTAGGCACATGTTAATATGCCCACTGCGTAGGTGGCATCCACTCATTGGTGATGTTAATATGTTTAAAAAAATACATCACCAATGAGTGCATGCCACCTACGCGATGGACATATTAACATGTGCCCACGGTAGGTAAGTGAGCATTTTTCGTTTCTCTCTATCTCTCTTTCTTTTTTGGGCTAAATTGTAAATTAAATACCAACATTTACATCATTTGCAATTTAAATATCAGTCATTTAATTATGACAATAAATGGCACGAGCTTTAGATGTTTCCACATCGAAACACACAATCACCGAATCAAGCGTCAGATGCTTATGTGTCTGGATCGTTATTTGACGTGAAGAGAGGAGACGACATGTCACAAACGAGAGAAGTAAAACAAAACTAAGTTGCAGTTGATATTCTTACTTCACACACTTAGAGCATCGAAACTTGTTTGTTTTTTATTGTGTTCGAATCGTTTGGACACACTGACATGCAAGTGAGCTGCAAATTTTCAAGAGCCTCAGTGTTATAAGGAGTGGTGTTTCTTGTTTCTTTTTACGTGCCATTCTTCGCTTCTTCATGTCAAATCACGAGCCAAACACTTAAGCCCCTAGCAATCGTTTGTTGAAAAAATGTGGATTAAATTGCAAAGGAAGCATAGATTGAGATTTAATTGGAATTTAGCGTTTATTTTTTTTTTCAAGGTTATTTAGTATGTCTCTTACATAATTTTTTAGATTTTTCTTATAAACATTTCCTTCTAATTAATGATTCTATTTACAATAATATTTCCCATATTTTGCCTACACTTTACCTTTTCTTCCTAGTATTTACCATGAGAAATGCTCTTCTACCCACGGTGGGCACATGTTAATATCCGTTTATGTGTCATGCACATATTAGTGATGTATTATTTTGAACACATTAACATCACCAATATGTGCATGTCACGTAAGCGGTGGGCATATTAACACGTCTCAACCGTGAGTAGGGGAGCATTATTATATTTACCATTAACAATTCTTCACTAGGCAAACTCACTTTTTCTCAAGGTAAAATAAGAGTTGAAGTTAATATAGATGTAAGTTAAAAAAAAATAAATAAATAAATAAAAAATGAAGCAGCTTTAAGCTGTGAGCCCACCAGCAAAATATCCAGAAATACTGGGAATTAGATTCACTACATGTTACTCTTGATACACATTCATTTTCCTTGTGTCCTTTTTTTCTTTTATGTGTCCTTTTCCACTTCATATCACCTGTGTTTCTTTTTGTCCCAGAGATTTTCAAAATCTAAAATTTTAAATTACTTTTCGAGCAAGAATTGAATAATATACCGATCAGTCGAGCATATGTCATATAAGCTTAAAATCTAGCTAAATCTTAATAACAAGCATAAAAAATACAAATAATGCATGGATTTCAAACATTATAACTCTTCAGTTTACTCTTTAAATATAAGTACTATAAATCAACCTCTTGATTTTCTATGGGCCAAACATGTAAGATATTCTTCAAACAAAATCATATAAGAAAAAATTATATCACAAAGTGGTCACTTTATGTTCTCCACTCCATCTTCAGAAAAAACAGTACTCACCAAGTTGTCTGCAGTTAAAAAGATAATTTGCAAACATATTTATTATATGCAATAAAAGTGTTCATCCACCTCAAAAAAAAAAAAAAATAAATAAATAAATGCAGAAAGGTGAGTTACTAACATATTATTATGTAAAAGTATTTTTGTACCTCAAAAGCATACATTATTATGCAGACATAATTGCATTGGCAGCATAATAATTAAGGAGATGACTACAGTCCCGTTGCGAAATGATTCCGTCAGTAGTTTCTACCGTAGATTATCTACACAAAACTAATCTACATGTATATCTGCGGTAGATACTACTGGCGGAACCATTCCGTCAACGGGATTGTAGTATTTTCCAATAATTAATTATATATTTCCTTTCAATCTCTTGGGCTCAACTGACATTTAGCATAATTTAAACACTTAAAAACAGGGTTACAACTTCAAGAAAGACACCTTTTGGTCTAATCCCTTTGCTAATATTTTCCATTTTTAGAAAGATGACAATGAGATTCATGTATGCCCCCTTTTAATTGAACTTTGAGATTAAATAATCTAAAATTCATTACATCACATCCTTTTTAGTTCCACCTAAGACATCACACTTAAATGAATAACTTAAAGACAAAAGGAAAAAAAGAGATAAAAATAAAACACAGTAACTATCATTATTTTTATTACTGTTTTTCCCACTAACTGTTGAATGTTCATGCTTCTTTCTTAAATGGTTTAAAATTATGTCAATCTATTTCGACGTACGGTAAAATACTGTGTTACGAATACGAGTTACAGTTTTTTGTCATCTGAAAATTGGAATAGAATGATATATATTGATACAATACACATTGTTCTATGCCTACTTCCTTTAAAAAAAAAAA